ACAATGACACTAATTCATTCAAGTCCCCCAAAAAGGCTGGTCGTCCACGTAAGACAAATGCAGGAGAAGACAGGATAATGCAGAGACTCTCAGTGGGGAATCGGTTCAGCACTGCAGCTGGAATTGCTCGTCAGTTCTGCAATTTCCATCCAAGACAATACTTCCATCACACTGCAAAACTTTTAAGCAGAAAACATTGAAATAATGAAATGGCCAGAGTCCAGATCTAAACCCAACTGAAAATCTCTGGAAAATCCTTGGTGACAAAGTGATAGCTAAGAAACCCACTACAGTCACTGAACTGTGGAAGAAGAGAAGACCAAGATCAAGCAGCGCAGTGAAAAACTAGTGCTGTCCTGCGGCCGCAGATCTGCTGAAACAATGGTAAACCTGCAGCTAATATTTCTTCAAATGAAGATTAACAATATTTCTTAAAAAATCATTTATAGATTGTTCTCTAATTTTGATCTCCACTGTATATTCACATAGAAATCAACTCTTTTAAATTGTAATAATATTTCACAATATTACTGTTTTTACTGTACTTTTAAAGACTTATTAAAAAAGTTAAGACATCTTACTGGACACAAACCTTTGAACAGTAGCTTGAGCATTATATATATATATTTTATATAGTCGCTTACAACCTTAAAAAAAATGCTTATTGTCCTTTTGAAATGAGCCTCAAGTGTCTGTATACTTTTTAGGCTGACTTTGTAGACTTAATTACAGTGAAAACAGACTATTATCATACCGTGAAAATCTCATACCGTTACAACCCTACATGTGTTGCTGGTTTCAGAGATACACAGTATAGTGAAGTGAAGTTAGACGTGGAGCAAGAAAGCCCCAGATTACTCTCTGCCCATACTTCTGGAAAACATGTTCCGGTGTGAAAGCTGATCGTTTGTGTCTCGTGCTCCACAGGCACGAGGTGGAGGCCTACATCAAAGCCAAGTACGTGGAGCGCAGGTTTGTCCAGAGACACTCCGAAGACGAGATCAGACAGAAGGTTTCAGCACTGAGTAAACAAGATAAACCTCTCAGCGGCTGTTCGGATGCTCGCCCTTCAGGAGGACCATCAGCGTCTGCTTTATCAGGTGAGTGATCCAAACACCAGTGTGATCTGTCTGCTCTTTCCTGCAGTTTCACGCTCTGTGGGGTCCATTTAACCTTTGCTTTGCCTTGCCGTGGCCCGTTTACCTGCTGTTAACATCCGTCAGCATCCATGCGATGTGTTCGGACCACCGTGGACGGATGTTTGTGGTGTTTTACCGTGTGTCTGTGTGCGATCCTAACGCTGCTCTGGGCTTTTGTGTTGCTGAAGCGAACCACGAGTCTCTCTTCTGTGTAGACGAGCTCGATTCTCTCTTCTCCTACTTTAACACCTCCACCAAGCCCTGCTGTCGTAAGTACAGCTGTGTGTGTCTCTCCCGCCGTCCTGTTTCAGTGTCAGCATTCAGCACAATTCACAGTCACTGCTGCCTCACTTTTATTTCACCAGTGTGAATTTGAATTGAATTGAATCCAGGGTTATTACAGTAAAGTAAAGTAAAACAATTGTTAATTAAAATGAATGTTAACTGAAATAAAATATAAAAACTTATTTTATTTCAGCTTGCTAATAAGGTAGCATTTCTCATTTTCATTTAGTTTAACTTGTTTTACTAAAACAAAAAAAAATCATAAAAAACCATATAGACATTTAAAAATAACAAAAAATAATAAAAATGACAAAAACACAACAACATTAAAGCTAACAAAAATTAACACGAGAGCAGAAAATATATTTTAAAAAAATAAAATAAAATAAAATAATTGTTAATATCAAAATATAATAGTATCTTAAAGGCACAATATGTAAGATTTTTTATTAAAATATCCAAAAACCACTAGAACAGTGTTATATATTTTGCTGACTTGTGTACTTACATTATCCCAAATGTTTCGAAGAATGTTTAAATCCAGAGAAATAAGCAATTTTAACTAGTGACACGGAGCATGTCTAGTGTCATTGTGTCGCCTGCCAATGACGTCATAACCCCTCGATTTCCGGTTTTGTTTTGTACAAAACATGGAAACACCAAAGACGCTTTAATATATTATGCGTTTTATTAGACAGGTGACGACCGCACAGAGTAGCAT